CTGGGTTCAACAGAATGTCGCTTCTGGAAATCTTGTCACCCACTATTGCCTGATCCAATGTTTCTAGCTCCTTCAATAACCTGGTTATCCTTTCCTTTTCTTTATTTCTTGACTCGGGCGATGATTGCGGGCTAGATTGACGCCTGGATGGAGGCGGCGCTTTCTGCTTTGGATTGGATTTTTGGTTATTGGCATCGTGGTTGCTCTTTATAGTAGTATTATTGGCATAATAATAATTCAACCCAAACGTTGGTTGTCCTTGTGACTTCCAAACATGATACAGAATAACAGAGAAAGCAACGACCAAAATAAAGACAAAGATCGTCGCCACCATGAGTAGGTTATCTCTCTGCCGTTCCTTTCGTAGTCTTTCATGTCTTATTTCTCGTTGCCGTGATTGTTGTGTAGTGAGGAGAGACCCCTTTTTGGTGTCCGAAGTATCAGCTCTAGTAGCAGTAGTATTCGGTCGATGTCTCTTTGAAAGGCCATTCGATGCCTTATCAATACTTTTCATGATAATAGAATCAGCGTCTGTAATATTGAAGTGACATTGTGTGGTATATTACTGTACTCTTGATCGAAGAAATGGCTTGCAGTATGATTTTTATGTTATGTTTGAGGTGTGGAAGACTTTCTGTCCTACACTATATATTGCCCAATTCTACACAGCCCCGTGGAGTCTCTCTGTAGCTCAGTTGGTAGAGCGGTGGACTGTAGTCGTATCATATATCCATCGGTCACTGGTTCGATTCCGGTCGGAGAGATATCTTTTGGATACAGTCTGAAACCATTTGCCATAATATTTTGCTCATTCCTCTATACGGTAGTGTCGTAACAAGCGGAGACATGGTAATTTCAAGTTCACTATTTACCTGATACCTTCCTACTTTCAAAAAGTGTAATATAGCAAGCTTGTATTGCCTTATGGTTCTATTTATCTACTGCTAGTAGTCTTCTAGTGTTGGTCCCATTGATCTAGCTACCGTACAATAGATGCTGCAACCTCCAACACCTGCTCCTATAGCACACTGTACTGGATGGATGTGGTGTAAAATTCATCTATCTGAATGAGTCAGCCAGTCAATCAGTCGACTATGGGCTGTAATATGCCATGGCGTATTGGCAAGGCGCAACTTTTTCAACTTTTTTACAACTGCGATTCCCTTCTTTTCTTGCGCATTGGCTCTCCACTCTCCATTACTGCATATCGTTTACCACACAATGTCGACTCTGTTTTGGCAACTATATAGTACTATTCGTGTACTTGCTGGCATAGCCTGGAACTCTCTCCTTCAGCAACTGCCAAGGGACGTCATCCTTGATCAATTCAGGAAATTTCCCCAAATCTTTCAAAAGGCGCTCATCCGATTTGCAAGCCAGTTGACTGCTCCATTCTTCCTTGGATACATCGGCTCGTCCTCGTGAACACCGCTCCTTATATTCTTCCAAGGATTTGCTCTGATAATGATAAACTGCAATCTGATCAACGACCAATTCAGGATTGAAAGGTCCAGCCACAATATTGCCGTCGGTATCGTACGTATGCATCCACCAACGAAAAAGTAGATAGTCCACAAAGTGTGGGTTTTTAACTTTGCGCACAAGATGGGTTCGAGCAATGGTCTTGATGTGCTGGCTGGTCGCATGTTCCGATCGATTCTGAAATCGCATTGTGACGGGCAAGTCTTGGTAATGCATTTGATGGTTCAAAAAGAAAGCCACCCAATTCATTGCCAAGCCACCATATTCAGGAGGAAGGCTCTCCAGAAAGTCTGAAATATAAGGATACCGTTGGGTGTCTCGCAATACTACAAATTCATCAATATCGATGAAAGCAACCCATGCATGAGAACGAGTCTTTTGAATTTGTTTGACACAGCTTGTATAGGCTTCGTTTTGTCGTTTCGGCCCCGGAAAATGACGAATGTGAGTTCTCTGTTGCAATTTGCTTGGGCTAAAATTAGCCAAAGATTGATGCCAGGCTTGTAATTCAAAGTCTTCCGAGTTGTCGTACAGAAAAATATCTTCAAACCCCAATGCCAACAGATGGTATTGGACCCACTCGTCAAGATACCTCAGCCCACCCTTTTGAATAGCACATATGGCCGCCTTTTTATTACTGTTATTGGTGTGGCCTTTTGGGTCCGTCGTACTGACAACATAACCTTTGGGCTGTTGACAGAGGATGATGAACAGCAGACTGCCACCAATCGCCAAACTGACAATAATCTGAAACAAATGTTGCGATGACTTGAATCGACCTGCCAATGACAAACTTGAGACTGAAGAAGAACCACAACTGGACGATGGCGCTAGTAAGGAATCTAAGGATGAAGAAGAAGATGGCTTCCAAGCACGACGGTTGATCATAATCCTTGAAAAGTGGAATGCATGATGATGTTGATGATGATGACACAGTATAGAAACTTCCGGCAGAAATCTGTTTTCGAAACGAGACTAGGAAAGTACCTCAAGACAAATACAGGTATTCTTTTTTGGCCTAATAGGAGTGTACATAACCCAAATCCATCAGATTAGTTTCAAAAAGAAAAGAAATCACATTCAGAATGGTAACTGAAGATCCGCTTCGAATACGGTATGCTTTTCGGTCATCCTGATTGACTGTCGTTCTTGCCCCATCATCTCCTGGAGCACTATTGGCTGATGCATCTGCGATTTCCACAACGACATCTCTAGCAACGTTGTGGCTTCCATCCTCTCGAACTGCGACAGAGCCATGGAAGCTTCTTGAAGTAAAGATCGTCTTTGTCTCTATTCATCCTCAGCCACAATCGCATCCACCCTAGCTATTCGACATTTTGGACTTCCAACAAGATTCCAATCCGTTCCAGCAGCTCGATACAGAACCTACCATCCATCATTGAAGAGCCATTCGAAGTATATGGTCCGAGAGTCTTCCGACAGATGAGAGCTTCGTTGACAGTAGTAGTATTCAATGGCAGTCTTTCCCTTCACGTTTTTCCGTCCAAGGACATTAGCTGGATACGCATCGAGTACTAGGATTTGCAAAAAATCAAGTCGACACTTTGCAGCCGACAGCAGAATGTGAAATGGTGTCGTACCGAAAGGATCAACCAATAAGTGATCATTGGTACTATTGCCTTCTTGCGAGGATTGCATTGATAACTCAATCTCCCGAGCGAGCTCATCTGTCGTTGCTTGTACTAGTAGTAACAGAGGCGTGGTGGGTAGCATTTCTTGTGTATCAGAAAGTTGTCGAATCGACGCATCAGGGCAAGCGGGATGCTCGTGTCGCCATATTGATCTTCCAGCGCTGTGCAGCCTTTGAAGCTGTTGATGTCCACACCACCGGAACGACTATCGTCGATACTCGATGGGGTTTGTTAGATATTATATGCGGTATAATATTTGACTGAGGTTTTTGAGATTCCAGATTCCTTGTCGAGGTCTATTATCAACTTCTTGACCCTTGACTCTATTTCTTTCAAGTCTTGAACAAGTTCTTCCTTGCTCTCTTTGGTCATGTACCGTTGAAAAGTAGCGACGTTGTTCAAAGAAAGAAAATGTATATGTATTCTTTTTCGAAAACTCTTATGTTAGATAATAAAAGACCCTACGATACTCTGAGACGATCAGTCTTCAGTTGTTCGGCGTAACGTAGTCCTAATACTATGAACCTTAAAGTCGTTAATAAAACTTGCTTTAGTTGGGATAAGAGTTT